AATCTGTTTTCGGAGGCTAGTCATGATATGCCGCATATATGTTAGCGAAAGTTGCCAGTTCGTTCTGGAGGAAACGTACGGTTATTCAGTCAATTCCATGCTTTTGAAACTGGTAATCTATCAACTTGAGAAAATTATGATCACGGTTTGGTTGCGAAGAAACCGTTACATTAGATAAAACGTTTAACGCGGTTCTCATCGACAATCACTTGTTTACCTAAATATCTTATTGACCTTATTTGCGGCCATTGTCTTCTAAAATGTGCTCCAGACAGACGCTGTTCTTTAGGGTGCATAAAAAGCCATCATCATATGAATATAAAAACACGAGAAGTATACAAAATTTAAAAACATTTGTACTCATAAGAAGGTATAAATTTGCTGTAAACCTATTTTATGAACTCCTACGTTTGTGAATAAGCCCCGAATTATAGCAAGTTCAAATCTAGTGATGATGTTATTCACAAAGATTCCGCTTTTTCAATGAATGTTGTTTTTACTCTGGTTTTCCAGGAGAATAGTTCTGTAAGGAAGCTGCGTATACCTCACTTGCTTATTGCAATAAAACAAATTCAATGATCAACATTGAACTATAAACAGTTGCTTCGAAATCTCGGTAAATAATTCAATTTCTTTGTTGTCAGTTTTCCATTCTTGATCTAACAAACAAAGTTTGGAAATGTGAACTCTTCACCAGTTACTTATTCGCGTGATTACTTTGACATTCGCCGAGCAGGTAAAGTTTCATAGCCTTGGTTGCAACTGCGCTTAAGATTTGAAGGACATAATTCCATGAAATAATAATAGTTTTATATATACGAATATAAAACCTACCTATTTTGGAGACAGATTACTTCTGTTGCAGTGTATCAGCAATTTTGCGGTTTATGATGGTTGCACCGAAAAAAGCTGTGAATCACTTGGAGTGTATGATCGTGAAATCACAGTCATATGAGCGACACCAGTTTGAGGACCGTGCTGTTTGCCCACAGGTGGCGTATAAAACCTAAAGCGTTTGCTTAAATTACACAACTTTATGAAGCAGATGGAATGATTCAACCGGCTGTGAATTCATTAGCATTGTAACAATACCAGTTGATACAGATGAACGATTTTATATTCTGTGTCATGCGAAAACTGAACAAATGTATACGTGGATAGATAAACTTAACAGGGGTGTGAAAAATGAGAAGTGTTGTGTCCGTCATTTCAAAAAACGAAAGAGGTTTGAGCCATGGATTCATGTGGTCCCGGCAAAGTGTACTGCTACACAAGTTACATGATTCAGGCAAAACAATTTCAACCTTCTTTGGTTCATATGTGATGAAGTTCATCGGAGAGCACAATTTATGACCCCAGATACTATTTGCCAAGGAGTTCTCTTCAAAAACTAAAAATAGCTTTCGCGTAGTCCTCACTGGAACATAGATGAATCAAACTCTACTGATACCGAGCGTAGTGTCTACCTGTGAATGAGATCCAGAGGATTATTCACCTTTAGACGAATGATTACCTCCATTTATACCAGTTTGTGATTTCCCATAATAAATTGGCCGAAGAATTTGATGGATGCCAAACATTGGCTCGACTGGCTGCAAATGGATGTGTAGTCTGCAAATATGACACTCCACAAACGAAGCATGTGTTGAGTAAAATATAAAAACATGCGACTTCAAAAAGAAAAGCTGACTTCTCCACCTCTCAGTGTGAACCTCAGATACGCGCCACATGTGAATACGCAATAAAATGAAAATTCTTCACCTCCATAGAAAGTGACACTTGTCTTGAATAACTTTGGAGAAATTATAGCCTGCCAGATTCTACTTTGCTTGCACGTGTATATTGCGGTTGACTTTGAAGCAATGTTTCCGCTTGCCCGAACCAACTGCGTTCAATGAAGAACAGAAACAGTAGGATTCCAATATGAACAGGAGCATGACGAAAGCTCCGGAACAATGCAATTGTGACAATCATACCTATTTAATTTCCCACCAGTCGAAACTATGTGTAACCAAACATATTTATTGAGACTCTCTTCTACTGAATTCTCTAATTACTTGTGGTTACATCATTAGGTTATATGATAACCAGCCAAACAGTTTGGACGTAATACGGACTTGTTTATATGGTTCATATTACACACCAATAAATGAACCACTACAGGTAACTTTCAACTTACCGTTTTCAAACCGGAGCCTTGAAGATTGATATAATTAGATGTCCCCACTTTTTGATCATCAGTGGCGACCACCACGGCCCAGTTGCACGGTACTTATCAGCTCCGAATAGCACTGTTATACGTTTCTGTTGCAGTCGTTCCCTCACAAATGTTTGTAGCAATATCAGTGAAAAGGCAATGATCCATTTCCTTTTTTAGTCATCGAGCTGTTTTGGATCAAGAACAGACTTCCATTTCAAACATCCAGTTTACTGGCATCGATGAGACTTACACATCACACCAACCTGTGGTCCGGTCATCTCTGGAGCCCATATGTAATTCACAAGTAATTCAGTCAAAAAGACTAATGATTTTCGGACAAGTGAAATGTCCGAGGAAGGTTATTCAACTCACCATTTTGTCTAAACTAAAACAACAATGCCCTGATTCATCACCAAATTTAGTTGTGGTTTGGTTGTCGCTTAAACTAACTATTTTTTGAGATAATAACACTGAGAATTCTGTCTTCATCCCAAGTGTGATTTGGTAATTTGACATAAGGATGGATTTACTGGACGCTATATCAAGTACTGTCTACACAAATTATGCCTCTGGAAGTCAGCGTTTGTCACCTAGTGATATCGTATGTGTGTGTGAACAACACAACTGGTTTCCGGTCGAAGTCATGGCTAGTTCTTGGTGGATTCGCTTTGTTGATGGGCACACCAAGGATAGGGCATCACGGTGAATAGCAGGAGATTTGAACTGAGTATCAAGTGATTCATCTCTTTTAGTGGCACAGCTAAAATACCTTTAGAAATCCCTGGGGCAATCAATGCACAGCTGTTTCATCCTATTTGGGAATCATCAAATGCCGTGCACATCCGTCGAACCCTGGATGAGCGATTTTTATTGAACCACCTAACTGCAATTCTAAGAATGGGGCAGTCGTAATTTCACCGTTTCCAACAACGATTTCGACTTTAATAACCGACCGAAAACAATATAGAAATTTCAGTATTAAAATATTCCAAACTGCAGGACTAGTCGCCAATAACCTGAGTCAAAAATAAGTGAGCAAGTCAGAAATATAATCTGAAAGAAGTTCATTATCATATATCAAAAGTTAGTGAAAAAAATTTAATCCACAGTCGTCTCAAAGCCTCTCAGGATGGTTACCGATAAGCATCAGATCCTCAGTGACCAGTAGTCATTCACGACTGTTTCACAGACAAAAAGAGTCTTGCCTTGAATAAAGTTCTGTTTTTAAACAGTATTTCAACATTTCAACGTGTATAAATCCACGGATTCTTAGTGACTCCTGGCTGAATATTTTCCTGACAAATCGTGCGGAACGCTTTTTCATCAGACTGAGTGGACACCTCAATATCAGTGATCATAGTATCTTGCATATTCGTGCGACGGCATGCTCCTGTCTGAGAAGGATGCTACCACCCTACCTAAAACATAACATAGAATTAAGGAGTTAGACTATAAAACACACATTCACACTAAAGGTCCGTAAACTACCAAACTTGGCCAAAAAAGAGATCAACGGCCTGTATTATATCCCCCTTCAACCGTTTTCTGCAATCCTGAAATATCAAACATAAATCGCAGGGGACCAACCTAAGCACAATGACCAGCTTAATTATCAATACGTTTAGTTTTATAACATCCTAAGTATTCAGGTATTGGGACAATCAACAGCAAATATATTTTCAAACTACTTAAGTCCGCCAAGTTGACCGAATCTTCCTAATCAAACGGTTCATCTTTTCCAGTACCCAAACATGAGACTGAACTAGCTGTTAGCTAACGACTTCTGTTTTAAATCAGCCGCCTGGATAATTCTCCATTTCCGAGTACAATTTCAGGCATTGCACGAGTGGTGCAGCAGAGTGCGCAGTCTAATTCATTGAGAAAGCTGCCATTGTTCCGTTTAAATAAATCAGTTACACCTTCCTCGATTGTACACCAGCGAGCAACAGTGTTCCACGGTCTTCGTTACTCATGGACTTACCTCACTAGCTGGAAGAGTTCTTCCCAGGAAAAACAAAATTAAACAAAGCTTATTACGGATAGCCCTTTGACAATGGTGGTTTTCTTCAAAGAACTGTTCTTCATCCATACCTATTATCTACCTACATCAGGGACCTAAAATGAACCCTTTCAATTCGTCTATTGAGGTATGCCAATGAGGTCCCTTTGGTTATATGTCTTCCAACAGTCCGAATAAGTTTATATAAAATCTTGCACGTCCTGAAACATTTATGGGCAGTCTGGTCTAATGGGAAGGAATGAGAAATGTCAAGAGGGAATCCATTCTGCTTCGCGGCCGCGGATTGTGCAAGACAACACCAGTGTTAGCTCCACTCTTGTTTGTGATGACCATGTGATATATCGCGATGTAACTTCACAAGAGAATTTTCACCGGTCTTTGCAGTTCGAAATGACGGCCGAAAAGCTGTCTTGATTATATCTTTAAATACGTAATTTATGACAGTTAAGTTCTTCGCATTCTTTTGTATATTTCGTCCCATATCTTCGTGTATTTTTTATGAATCTATACTGTTCTCTCAAAGTCATCCCCTGTCGAGTGAGAAAAAATCGTATCCTTCCTAGTCGTGGTCGACGCACCATCAGTCTTGATTATTTGTATAGCCCTAAGGTACCTCATATCCAGTTTAGATGAAAAAACGTAACAGTATGAGTTGCGTTTACCAAACACATCATTACCATTCTGTTCACACCCACTGCATTGCGACTTTTCTATTCGTCAATTCAGTTTGTTGTCTTGCACCATGTCTTAACTACTTCCTTGGAAATTATAGCTGTAAAATTAGTTTGGGGTACATTCACTTGCTCGAGTTTCCAAAATTTCTGCCTCCATCGTAAATCGTTTATTCGGATGCAGACGATTGAGTTCATGCATAATCCATATTGTCTCTTCTAGACTTCTTGTGATGATTAGAGCGTCATCAACGTATCGTTTGTAAAGTTCTGAACGTTCCAAAATTTTGCTCGCCTTTTCCTCAAGATGAGCCATAAATATATCTGCCAGAATGGGACCCAATGGACTTCCCATTGCGACACGGTCAATTTGTCTGTAAGCCCGACCAAGGAAGGAAAACGATACGTTTGTTGTGCACAGTAGTAATTGTCGTTCCAGAACTGATACTGGTATACCGATTTTGAGTTGGTTTTGCTCGACATGGTCACAGATGATGTGTATGACCTCCCGAACGGGAACATTCGTAAACAGTGATTGGACATCAAACGAGGCCATGTGTTTCTCTTTCACATTAATCTGGTCCAACAGCTTTACTATTTCGAAACTGTCTTTGATAGTGTGTCTGACCATTGATTTATGAACTGGCTCAAGCAGTTTCACCAGCCATTTCGCCAATTCATGTTGTGGTGAATTTGTCATAGACAGTATTGGTCAAAGTGGCACTCCGGGTTTGTGTAGTTTCGGTAAACCACACAGTTGTGGAGTTTGAGTTCCTTTTGGCTTCAGATGGTGAGCTGTGCTTTCATTGATGAAGTGTCCTTCTAGTAGAAACTGTACTTCTGTCGATATCCGTTGTTCTAGTTCTTTGGGGTCATCACAGTTATCTTCGCGTACAAACTTGCTGGGATCGTCAAGAACACTTTCCATCTTCTTCTCATAGTCATTCCGATCCATCAGCACTGCTCCGGACCCCTTGTCAGGGCGTAAAATTAACAAATCAGGTCGCAGCTGTAGCTCTTCAATGGCGGATATGTGCTCAGGTGTGAGGAGTGACTGATGTCTGGACGATGTCATCCGCTACTGAAAACGTGTTCAATCCAATACCATGAATAGTATAAACAACAGATTTTTCAATTATTTTGCACTGCAGGTAGTTTCACGCAAAATTGTTCGTCCCTCATCATTTTGAGGGAAGTGAATGGCCAATAATTAGGGAGCACTTGGATGAAATTTTCAATGTGAACACTATAAAATACCTTGGACCAAAAGGATGGTCCTGTATATCTCATATTCAGTCGATCCTTCAGGTCATTAGTACGTCCCAAATTGCATACTGAATGAAAATCGTCATCGAATTTGCAATTTTGATGTGTGCAGCTATAACGGATCATTTTGAAAAAATTCTGTTATTGGTTCTGGGTGGAATTTGTGTTTCGCCAATGTATCAGATAGTATTGTTGCAGTTCACAGCAGGGACATATCATAAAATAACAAACACTTGTATTTTACAAACTTCAGTGGCACAATCACGTCAGTCATGAACGAATGAGGCAATATGAATCTATTCATTGCCATTTGCAGAAAAAAACTGATATGAAGAACAACCGATAGAAAGAACGAGTAAATAAAGAGATAATTTGCAATTCAGTTGGTCGATATTTACGCGATCTAAAGTGCAAATCAGTCCAGAGCAGATGCTGCACTTTAGAGGTAATTATTTGCAAAATGTGTGTGATTCAGACCCTGTGCTCTTGGTTCTGATTGAACGTCAAGCTGAACACGGATGCACCTGTTTTGATCTCTCATACCACAGCAGTAAAAGCTCATGTTTGAATAAAGCATTATTGTTCAGTTATGTGGTTTTGTCGTTCATTTATGCGTTCTTATCATCAAACCATTTGGTATTACGTAATAAAATTTCAACTGGATGCAGGGATAATTGCTTTACTTATGTTCAAAATGTAAAATATTGTACCGTGACAGTTATTCTTCTTGGTAAACTCCAGAATTCCAACATCAGAAATCATAACCTAAATCAATGAAATGACTGACTACGAGCAAGTCAACCGGGTGGAGAGCGCCAGCAATTCACCTTCATCGTATCATTCTAGTGGAAACATTTGTGTCACGGAAAGTTAGTGAATAATATGTCCTCGGTCGAGGTTGCGACGGACCCGCGGTCATTTGGGAGTAGTTCGAGAGGCTTTCAGGACAACTAGCCATCTCTGAGCCTGATAAACCGGAGATCACGATAACCTTAAGTACACAAATGTTCTTGTTTTTTAAACATACCTGTTTCCGTCACCAGACCAAAAGGTTTATTTTATGCTTCACTTCATATCATGATCTAAATCTGAAAGCTATCAGACAAAAGTTCAATAACTTAGCGTCGGCAAATAATCATTCACCTGGAATGCTTTGTGTCACATTTATTGAGACCGCTACCTGTGAGCTCTATATGAAAAAGTATTTGATTCAGACCACTACGGGATTCGGACTTAGGGGTCATACCTTTCGATATCCAAGTAGAAATAATTTCCCAGTGATGCAATCGAGTTGATTGCTGCAAATTGCTTACACTTTCAGAACACGAGGCATGTTTTAAGATTTTCATAAGTGCCAATTTATTTCACTAATATGTGTTATCTATGTTTTCGCTTCATCATTGATGAAAGCCAATCGTGGCAATTCACTGTGACTGAATGTGACGGAAAAAGCAAACAATGCCACCGAGTGATTTCAGAATTGTAATTGAATCACAGTTCTCGTGATTTCGTACATATGAATCCAGGTTCTCTGATGCAAGTCTCCTCCTTTTTGAATAATCCCAGCCATTCAAGACCCAACTAGTGGTTTTACTTTGGCTGAATCATTGTTCTCTCTGTCCACTGACAAACTGACGAACACACACACGCGCACTCATCTTATGCAAATACGATCCACTCCGTCCTACCAGGTTCTCATCGGTCATTTCTATCAGAAGTGTCTTGTCAACGCGTGCATCTTATAACCGATACCGGTACAGCTAAGTACTGTATACTTGAGGATTTGCGTGATTGAACGTGAAGAGTTCAACCTTCATAGCAAGTCGACAGGTAGGTATGTGTCCGCCTTCGAAAAGTTATGATAAATGTTGTCCCTCAAGTTTTGTAATACTGTGCAAAATATAATCGAAATAAATACACTTCTATCGTTCCATGCCTTAAGAAAACAAAATACTTGGTTGCCACCAAATGTTACTATTTGTCAAACGAAGAGTGTACATAAACCAATGAACGCAACATACGATAAAACAATGTTGGTAGTGAAAAGATTATCGCGTAATCGTGCATCTCGTTGGGCAATGAAAATTTCGGCCATTATGCTCCAAAAGCTTTGGACTGGTCTATAGTTCGGACATTGTTATAGAGAAAAATAAGGCAAATTGTAAAGAGAAAAACACGATCTGCTTCATCAGTTTTAAGTTAGGACTATTATGTTGTCCAGATGGCTGACTGTGGCGTGCGAGAAGCGGTTCCTTGAATGCGTCAGTTGTGTGAATACAGTGTGTATGTTCCTGAGGTGAACCTTCCTTCCTCAATGTTGAAACAGGGTACCCAGCTGCATTGCTGAATGGCTTTTTGGGTTTTCCTATGTCCAGGTAAGTTGGCTTGTGCGTATATGTGTAATCAGATCGGTCTCATAAAAGCTTCCTGTTTTGATGATGGTTTCTGCCTACTGGAATGTTACTCCTCCAGATCGAAACGAGTCACGAACCAACGGGCTTAACAGACTCTCTCAGTCCCTTTACATTTTAGAATCCACCGAGTTTTGTGGGTGTAATCCTTTTTTCATCACTTTTTCATGAGAAATAATACACTCAGAACTGATTCTGGCTCCAATAGATTAGAGACGATAAATCATATGCATTATGGGCAGTTGGTGCGATTGTGGCTCTTGCGTAAAGTTTGGTAATTGAAATTTTAAAGAGGGCTTGCTCTGAGCAACACGAGGTGGGAATCAGATAAAGGAATGTAACTGGTTGGCCCATGAGGTCTATGTGAAATACATACGTTCTCTTGCAGAAGTGAATCGAAGCCTCGAAATATAATGCTTTTACTTGGGTTAATGGAGTGACTAACGAGAGCCGTTGCGCTACCCCTTCTCACTAACTTTAGCGAGAAAGCTTCTGGGTCTTTGAGTTACTTCCATTTAGTGGCAGTAAAAGTAGTGCTAGTAGTGGTAGTAGTAGTAGTAGTAGTGGTAGTAATGGTAGTAGTAGTAGTACTAATAGTGTCATATTCCACAAGTCGCGCCTGGGTGATAGGTTGTTTAATGCCACTAACGTGTTCGGACATTGACAAAACAAACCAAACGTTACAAACATCCTCATTTGCTAAGAGTCTGTCCTGTTCACTTTAAAACAGTCATCATCCGAAGGAGGAGCATTCGTGTGGTTTGCTTGTTGTTGTTCACCTTCTTGCGCTCGGTCTCTTGGGCATAGCGGCGTTGGTAATCCACGAATGACGATAGTTCCGCTTTCAGCAATCAACTACTTAACAAGAAGTGTAAACACTCACCACAGTAGTAGTAGTAGCAGTAGTAGTATTGTTCATAGTCAATTTTTGGCCTGCATACTCATTAGTTCACCTGTTATCCACTGGCAGCTCTTCTGAGTGGTTAGTCTAATAACAAATACAATCGTTTAATTCGATTCTGACGACAGTGGACAATTGATTGGTTATTAGGTCCACCACGTTCTCTCCGAGCTCGTATTTGATTGACGACAAGAGAATACGTGCTGGTTGCTCATCAAGCCATGTTGCTGTCTACGAAACAAACCAAGCCATCAGTTGGCAAAGTGTCACCCAGTAAACACCTTTGACTAGCTTGTCAGCTGCCCTGCTAGCCTCCTTTTTTCTTTTAGTCAGCTGATCTTGACGGGGACTTGTGTCGAACCATCGTCGCTATGGTTTCCTTTCTCTTACGGCTGTTGCCACTCATCACAACAGACTTGAACAAAACACCGTGCCATGTACGCTGGTATTGTTGATTCGACCTGCAAACGAACAGAGAAATCACCGATGCTATTGCGGATCTAACGATACTTTATTCCAGGTCTCATCGCTATGGTAGGTGGTACCTCTTGATTATAGTAATTTTTCGTCAAAACTGAGTGCTGTTATAATAATTGACGAAAAACAATAAAATAATTAGGTGGCTTCTTTTATCCGTTGTCCATTACTACCAGACAAAGTTTGGAAACATTTCATCCAGTACGTTATTCACATTTCCTGATTGAATAGCGTATATAAACACACCTAATCCATGAGCTAATAATATGAAAGCAAATGTTCTAGTCTAGTTTCAGAGAGGCAGTTAGTTAGTGAATCAAGATTGACAATACATTAGATTGCTTCTACTGATAAACACACGATTTACAAACTCCGTTTCACATTGAAAGAAAACTTCAAGCACATTGGTGGGCAGAGATACAAAGTCACTTCCACTTCGATCTTGCATGTGGCAGCACGTTGACTATGGGAGTTAAGGGAGTTCGGTATTCAGCGCAAGTGTGTCAAAAGGAGAGACTCAGTTAGTGATTTTTGCTTTCGATTACGATTCCACTTCAGGGTAACCTACTGATATGAACATTTTAACAGTTAGGCGAGTATTGAAATTCGAGCACACAAACGCAAGCGTTTGTGTTCAATGTATACTCTTCCTTCGTACCACCACTTTTGAAAAAGATATCTTTGACTGAACTGGAGGGCCATTTTGGTGTATAATATTCTATGAAATGCAACCATTCAGAAGACAACGTTTTACTAAGTGAACTTAAGCAGTACGATATATCGTAAGTAGATGCTATAAACAATAAGTACAACATCTTAAGCTTTTGAGTGCAATCCAGTCAAACAACTATAATTCGGGCTTTTGAGTCAAAAGTTTTGTCGTCTAGTGACTGACCGCCTGTCGTTTTATATCGTGCTATTTTCGTATTAAATCCAGCATGAATGTCTACCATGACTATACAGCGCCTTATTAAACACGTGTTCCGGTTGACGAAATGAAGTCGCAGAGGAACTTCACAC